TCACTAAATAGGTAAATGAAAACAACTCACAACACATAGCAAGAAACGCTAGGAAGAGAAGGGAATCTGGTTTGTAAGGTCACTACATTATAATATTCAAAACGTTCCAGTTTCACCAACATTACAATCCATGCAAACAAACAAGAAAATATGACACATTTCTAAGGAAAAAAAGTACTAGGGACTAATCACCAAGAAGCCCAAATATTGGATTTAGTGAAGACTTTATTTGCATATTTATTTATTTATTTTGGTACCAAGGATTGAACTCACAACTGCACGCTTACAGGGCAGGCACTTGTGCTGCTGAGTTAAATCCCCGGCTAGTAAAGGCTTTACCTCAACTGTCCTGTCTTAGTTACTTTTCTGTTTGCTAAGGTAAAATACTTGATGCCCACAGTTAAAGGAGGAAAAGTTTATTTTAGCTTATAGTTATAGAGGTTTTAGTCCATAGGCAACTGACTATAGGTCAGGGCAGCATGGCAGAGGGACATCACAGAGGAGAAAGAGTCCATGGCATGGCAAGCAGAAGGCAACAGCAGAAAGCAGGTAGTAAGGAAGAAGCAACAATGACAGCACTGTTCTTTCTGTCTCTGTTTTTTGTCCAGGGTATCCACCCTGAGTGTGGGTGGCATTCACGCTCTTAACCCCAGCATTGTGCCATGACTCAATCGCTTCATCTCAGCATTACAGCTCCTAGATCCAGCCATGTCTGAAAAGTTCCACCTATGATCACATAAAGTTTTGGAGAACATCCAACTACAAGTCCTAACATGTCATTCATATATACGTTCTTTTTGAGACAGAGTCTTACTGTGCAATTCAGGCTGGTCTGGAGCTCACTTTGTAGCCCAGGCTAGTCTCAAACTTGAAACAAGTTTGCTTCAAAACTTCAAAACTCTTGCTTCAAAATCCTGAGTACTGGAATTACAGGCATGTTCCACCACACCCAGTACTTGCCTACATATGTTTAAAGAGATACAAAAAAACATGGATGAAAAACTAGAGGAAACCAAGACCATGATGTCCTAATAAATAGAGAGTATCAAATAGAGTATCATTAAAAGGATAGAATTATTAAAAGCAATCAAATAGAAATTTGAGTGCTGAACAGTACATGAACTGAAATTTTAAAATTCACTACAGGGATTTAACAACAGAGTTGAACAAAAAGTACAGAACATAAGAATAGGAATAATTGTGATTTATGCAGTGTGAGGAGCAAAATGAAAAAATGAAAAATAATGTGGAAAAATAAACAGCGGGTAATATATCTGTGAGATACTATCAAATGTATCAACATATGTAACATGGGATTCCCAAGAGAAGAGACAAAAAAAGAGGTTGGAGGGATAAAAACATAATTGCCAAAACTTTCTAACTTTGAGGAAAAATAGGAATTCACACATTCAAGAGGCTCAATGAAATCTAAGTAGGAATTCTTCAAGGGCCATAGTAAAACACATGGCAGGAAGAGGGGTAGCTCATAACAGAGTAATGCTTAGCACGCATGAAGCACCAGCTAGAGAAAAAAGACACATTAAAATCAAACTGTTGAAAGACACAGAATACTGAAAGCGACCAAAAATAACCATCTCATCTGTCATACAAAGACCTTCAATAAGATTGATGATGAATTTTTCTTCAAAAATCATAGAGACCAGGAAGTGGTAGATAATGTATTTAAAGTGCTGAAAGATAGGCCGGGGAGTTTAGCTTAGTGGCACAAGTGCCTGCCTGGCAAGTGAGAGGTCATGAGTTAGATTCCCAACACCAAGAATAATAATAATAAAATATAATTATGTATGGGGGAAAGAAGAAAAATAGGCAAGTGAATAACCAGTATTCTATAAATATATAAATTAATCACAAATGAAGTTGATAACAAGAAATTATGGTATATAAAACAATGAAAGTCCTTTTAAAAATATAATTACTTTAAATGTAGATGGATTATACTCCTTAATTATAATTTAGAGACTAGTAGAATAGATAAAACTGCACCATCCAACTATAGGCTGTCAAGAAGAAACTCACTTTCTATTACAAGTCACATACATATTGATAGTGAATGGATGTTTCATGCAAAGAGTAACCAGAAGAACTAAATTACAGTATCAGACAAAATGGAACTTAAGACAAAAATTGTAATGAAAAACAAAGAAGGACATTGTACACTGTTAAATGGGTAAAGCCTTGAGGAAAGTATAAATGCTAAAAACGTATATACATCTAATAACAGATCAAAAACTATAGGGAATGAAAACTTAAAGAATTGAATTAAAACACTTATCTAGGGGGCTGGGGATTTAGCTCAGCGGCATAAGCACCTGCCTTGCAAGCAGGCAGTCGTGAGTTTGATCCCTGGTACAGATAAAAATGAAAAAGACAAAAAAACAAAACAACAACAACAAAAAAAAACACTTATCTATAATAATACTAGAAGACATCAATACTCCATTTTAGATAATATATAGATCAACCAAACATAAAATCAACAAAGAGGTAGAAGAATTTAAAATACTATAAAGGAACTCATTCCAATAAAAATAGAAGATATTCCATCCAATTACAAGAGGCATTTTTTTCTCAAATGTACTTGGAAGATTCCCTCAAATTGTCCATATGTTGAGCCAGTAAACAAGCATCACTAAATAAAAAAATCTAGTATACAAAATATCTTCTCCACATGCAATGAAGCCAGAAATCAACATTAAAAAAAAACAAATTAATAAATATATCGAAATTAGCCAGTACAAATTAGCCAGTGAGTGAAAGAAAACATTACAAATGAAACAAAAAAAATTAAAAAATAAAAAGAGTAAGAACATATCAACACCTCCCTGGCAAGCACAAGGTCATGAGTTCGATCCCCATTACCAAAAAAAAAAAAAAAAAAAGAGCATATCAAAAACAATGGAATAGAGAAGAATCTTTACTCAGAGGGAAATATATAGCTTTAAACAACTACATTTAAAAATAAGAAAATAGTTATGGGGTGCATCTCACTGGAAAAGCAGATGCTTCGCATGTGTGAGGCCCTGAATAAAATCCCCAGTCACACACACACACACACACACAGTAAAAAAGATCCCAAATAAATAACCTAACTTCTTACCTTAAAAAAACAGAAAAGAACAAATAACCAAATTAGTGCAAGAACTGAAAAAACACAGGTAATCAAAATAGAAAAGTAAAATTAAAAGATGATCCTTTGAACAGATCAAAATGTTTACAAACATTTTAATCAGAGTGACTAAGAAAAAATGAGAGGACACAAATTACTAAAGTGAGAAAGAAAGGTGGAGTATTCCTACTGATCTTACAGAAATTGAAAAGAGTAGAGCATAATGCAATGAACAATTGCACTCCAGCAAATTAGATAACCTAGATGAAACAGACAAATTTCTGGAAACACACAAGGTACCAAAAGTGACTCAAAAAGAAGTAGAGAATCCAAAAATACCTATAACAAGTAAAAGATTGAATCAGTAATCAAAGACTTTCCTATATGGAAAGCACAAGATCTGGTAGCTTTATTGGTGAAGTTTTTAGAAGAGCTAACACTAATATTTGTCAAACTACATAATATAAGGCCAGAATTATCCAAACACTAAAGCTAAGATATAACCAGAAAATTATAGATCAATATCATTTAAGAATGTGGACGAAAAAGTCTCAAAAAATGCCAGACTAAATTCAGCACTATAGTATGTGCTGTGTCTAAGCGATTTATCTCAAGAATGCAAGAGAGATTCAACATACAAAAATCAATAAATGGAATGTGTTGTATTAATAAAATGAAAGTAAGCAAATATGATCACATCAGTTGGTGCAGAAAAAAGTATTTAACAAAATCTATCACTCTTGTATGATTAAAAAATCTCAGCAAACTAGAGATAAAATTCTTCCTTAATATAATAGAAGGCAGTTATGAAAAACCCACAGCTCCTGTCACATTCAGCAGTAAAAATTGAAAAATTTCCCTCTAAAATGGGGGGGGGGATGTCCACTTTTATTCAATAATGCACCAGAAAAGAAGTAAAATTATATCTTTATTCCCAGATGACATGATGTTATATATGGAAAATACCAAAGAATGAACTATACTTCTGTTTCTCTGTCTCTGCCTCTCTTTCTCTCCGTCTCTTTTTCACACACACACACACACACACACACTACATAGTATAATAAATAGAATTAGCAAAGTTGCAAGATTCAAGATAAATAACATGATTCTGTAATCCTAGCACTTGGGAGGCTGAGACAGGAGGACCATTACAAATTCAAGACCAGCCTGGGCTACAAAGTAAGGCCAAGACTAGCCTGAACTGCATAGTGAGATCCTGTCTCAAAAAGAGAAAAAAATTTTAATAAATAAAAAAGAAAGAAAGAAAAAGATAAATATATAAAAATCAACTTTAGTTTTATTCATAGCAATAAATAATCCATCATAAGAGCATCCCAAAATCTCAACTGGTCACAAGATCAACAACAGAACGGATTTTAAGTACAAATAAATACTACAAAATGGATAAAGCTCAAAATCATTTTACGTGAAAGAAATCAACAGAAGATTATGAACTCTATTATTACATGAAATGCTCAAATTAGACAAACCCATAACAACAGAAAGCAGATTAGAGATTGCTCAGGACTGGGGGAACACGTTTGAGGCTGTGAGGTAACTCCTTAATGAGTCCTGATTTCCTTTCAGAGTGATGAAATGTTTTAGAACTAGAGAGAGGTAGTGGTTTTACAATATTGTAAATGTACTAAACACCATTGGATTGTAAACTTTAAAGTGATTAATTCTGTGATATGTAAAGTTTGCCTCAATACAAATTTATGTAACATTGAAGGTATAGAAAATAATGCTAGTGAAATCTCGCTTTCTTTAGAAAGTTTACATTGAAAGGAAAAGATAAACAATAAAATATAAAAGTATAGTCAGTATGATTTGAATAACATGGATTTATCTTATTTTTGTTCTCTTTCAGATTATGTCTGGCCACTACCTAGATATTTGTGCCCCGTCTGGATTTCTTTAGATGTTTTATTTTCAACGGCGTCCATCATGCACCTCTGTGCCATATCGCTGGATCGGTATGTAGCAATACGTAATCCTATTGAGCATAGCCGTTTCAATTCGCGGACTAAGGCCATCATGAAGATTGCTATCGTTTGGGCAATTTCTATAGGTAAATATAACTTTGGGCCATTAGAATTGCAGCGGCTATGCTCAATACCTTCGGATTATGTACTGTGAACAACGTACAGACTTCGACTGGTAACGTTTGCGTTTAATCGGAATTCTTGTGTTTAGTAATTATTCTTAACCTATTTACCTGATATTTAGGTTAACAATAATGAATGGAATGGAATGGATATGAATCTATAGATATAAAGTTTACATTTATGCTGCTAACATGTTTTGGGGATTAGTATGCCAGTGAATTCTGCAACACAGATACAAAACCTTTGAGACAGTTAAAATCTTTGAAGATTGTACAAAGATTATGCTAAAGTCTAAATTTAAATTAACTCCAAGTCTTTTTCAATGGAAAATTAATAATGTAACCTGAATCTTCGTGAAGCGTATATGATTAATTTTATTAAACCAAAATATGTTATTGTCTTCTAAAAGTTCAAGTATGCTATTGAGCCACTTCAGATCCTGTGCTTTCAAGTCCAGAATTACTATATGATTTTGTAACTTGTATATCTGTTAATATTCTTGATTTAATGAGATAACATCGTGTCTAGAGATACTTTATTTATTTGAACATGCTTTAAATATTTTATTATTTCAAGTCTCATCTATGAAATCTGTTGTCAATATGACATTTTACCACTGCCATTTTGCTACTTATTTTCAAGATTTTTTTTGTTTTTGTTTTTGTTTTGTGCAGTTCCTCTTTCCCCATCTTTTATAGTCTTCCTTTGTGGCTTTATAATCTACAACAGAAGTAAACTTGCTTTTTTGCTTATTATTTTCTGTATCTTCATTATATTTCTTTATTATTATCATAAGGCTTACAAGAACCATCTTTTGCTTTTAACAAGCTATTTTTAAATGACAGTGTGTTAGTATTGCATTGCTATGACAAAATATGTGACAACAACAACAACTTGGAAACTTTATATTGACTCATAGTTTAGAAGTTTTAGTGCACAGCTTCTTAGCACACCTCAGTGGATTTCACCTTCAGACTTTAGGAGTTCTTTTTGATCAGAGCGTTTGTGGCTCCAGTCACTGTAGAAGACCTACGTTGATGCTTTGTAAGCAACTGTTACTGTTTTCTGCAGCTGCTTTAGGGATATCCATCTAGAAGCTGGACCTCAGCCTTCCCCTTGACTGTGTCTGTCGGGGGTAGGTTCAACAGCTGCTATGTCCTTCTTTTTCTTTAAACAGCAGTCTTCTACGGTTTGTGTGGAAATGGTTTATATCCAGAGTTGAGCTTAGTCCGCTCAGCTGAGCTTAGTGTTTGTTTACAGGGCTCAGCCATCTGCACCATGCTGTGGCTTTTTCTCTTACCTTTAGCCCCTCAGAGGGAGAGTACCCTTCCTCTCTCTCCAGGTTCTGCGGTAGTCTTTTTCCTTAGCTCTGATATTCTCCCATCTCTAGATTTCACCAACTTTCCTTTGCTCTGCTATCAATTTGCAGTGCTCACCCACACTCACACACTTCTTCAAGCAGTTATACAGCTGTTGCCTTGTTTCTCTCTCAAGAGAAGACCAGACTGGCTGTAGGTGCCTCCATTCTGCCGTCTAACTGATATTTTATATTTTTTCACTCCTTTTAACTTTACTGTTAACTTTAAATATCTAAGCCAAAAAGCATATTCTAAATGATCTTGAAAAATATGTGGATTATTTCCAGATATCTTTTCCTATATGTTTCTAACAAAATTCTACAGTGATAAGAGGACAGACCCTACAATTTCAACCCCTTTATACCATGAAACTTTGACATTTCTTTTATATCTCAGCACATATCCCAGTATTTCCTGTTAATATTCCATGAATATTTGAATAAAATTTCTATTCTGATTATATTTTGCGGTTGTGTGCAGTGTTTTATAAATGTTAATCATATTGAACTCTCCTGCACAATTCAGGATGACTAAACACTACATTTTGTCTCTTCATTTTATTAATTTCTTAGAACCGAATATTGAAAACTACAAGTATGAATGCTATTATCTATTTCTTCTTTCAAGTCTGTCAGGTTTTGCTTCTTGTATGTATGCAGAACTGTTATTAGGAACAAATATGTATTTTTAGTTATTATATTATTCTCCAATATTAGTCTACAATAATGAAACATGTCTTTGTCTCTGATAATACTTATACTATTGAGTGTATTTTACCTAAAATTAATATACTTACTATAAAATTCTTATGCATATCAATTTCCAGTAATATGCAGTCAATTCCTTATTTTCAAGCTGTATTTGTAGTTAAAATGTATCTCACGTAAGCAGCATATAATTGAATTATTTTTCTACTGGCAACTGCAAGCCTAACAATGTACATCTTACCAGAATTAGTTTCAGATAAACATTAAGTGGGCATTCCTATATAGTTCTATTTCCCTTTCCTCTTTTTGCAGTATTTTGTATATACCACACCAGTAAATTTTGCATACACAACTTTGTCTTTTTTTTCCTTATTTCTATTATTTTTGGGGAGTGGTGGGGATCATACCCAGGGCCTCCCTTATGCTAGGCAGGCTACAACCCAAACCCCAATAATACTTTGTTGTAATTATTATTTTATGTGATTTTACATCTTCTAAAGAAGCTTAGAAAAGGAACACTAAACGTTTTACATTTATAGCTTTTGTTATGTAAATTTACCATGCTTTCAATTTCTCTTCATTTTTTCCTCTGGATTGAAGTTACTATCTAGAATCGTCTTCTTACTCCATTATAGCTAGGGTTTCAGTGTTGTCATTGACAAATACATTACATTTCTATATCATATGTGGCCAGTTATAACATATATTATTTTCTTTTGTCTTTTCATTGTTTCTCTTTTTTCTCTTTCTTTTTTTAAGGCAAGGTCTTACCGTGCTGTCCAAACTGGCTTTGAATTTGTGATCCTCCTTCTCTACTTCCCAAGTAACTAGGATGACTGGCATGTGCCACTGCACTCAATATCACACATATTACGCCTTCTTTTTACAACAGTTGAGAGACTAGAAATATGTACACTTTTCCTTTTTTATAACAAGTATTTATAGATGTTCTCTGTATTTTTGAAGATGAATGTTACCATCTGGGATTACTTATTTTCACCCTGAAGAACTTCTCTTGGTAGTTCTATCAAGGTGATCTGCTAACAAAATATCTCTTAGGAATATCTAGGTTCTTTTCAGTTTTAAAAGACAACTTTGCTAGATACAGGATTTTTGACATTGAATTTTTCTTTACTCTAGATATTTTTAATGCTATCCCATTGCTTCTTACCCTTTGTTATTTTCAATTAAATTGTAGCTATTTGGGGCTCATTTCCAGAATAGTCAACTAATTCAACAATAATAGCAAAAATCTTTTTTAAATGGGCAAATGATTTGGACACAAATTTCTGAAAAGAAGATAGGAAAACAGCCATCAAATATACGAAATAGAATGGCTAGTATAAAATAAGACAATGACAAATGGTGACAATAAATGAAGTAGAGAAAAGAGTTCGTATACACTATTGGTCAGAATATAAATTATCACAGCCATTATGGAAAATAATACAGAGGTTTCTCATAAAACTGAAAATAAAGCTATTATAAGATCCTATTATCTTACTGCTTGGCATATATCTTAAAAATGAAATGATTACACCAAAGAGATAACATGCTCATCCATATTTATTGCAACACTATTCATAATTACCAAGATATAGAATCAACAAGATGTTTATCAACAGATGAATAAAATTTTAAACAGCATAAATATATAATAGACTATTATTCAGCCACATAAAAGAAAAAAAATCCTGTTATTTGCAACAACATAGATTATCATGGACTGATCAGTCTTCCGACCTCTTAAATGAGTATACAGTGAACAGTTTAATTAAAAAGCGATAATGGAATATGGCTTTAGGGGACCCAAAAAGGTCAGAACTCTCATGAATAACTCCTTGGGAGTAAAGACAAAAGCTTCTCCAGACAACCCACAATTATTTGGCTTTCAAACAAAGGAAGAGGATACTGAGGCAAGATGGGAATCAAGCAAGATTTTAGAAAATTAGTTCAAAGACTTCTCCAAACAGTTAAATTTGCCAATTAAAAGAAGTTTGATCTCTAACAGACAATTACTGCTCTGGAATAGGAAGTATTAGTGGACTCACCATGGTGTTATCTTGACTTCAGATTACTGTGAATAGGAGTTTTCTGAACACAGCCAGAAGTCACTGCACAGTCAGCAATTTAACCTTTACATAGGTTTGTCTCTGACAATAGATGTAACTGGAAATCACTGTGCTAAATAAGCCAGGCACAGAAAAACAAATACATCATATTCTTGCTTATTTGTGAAAGCTATGTAAACTCCTTACGTGTAGAATAGAAGTCACTGCGGGACAGGGACAAAAAAGAGTCATAGAGAATAATGAGAGAGTGAACAATGTGTACCAAAATACAGGTAGCAGTAGTTCTGATGTTCTATAATACAGCCAGGTAGCTACAGTCTACAACCATGAATTATACATTTCAAAATAACCAGTTTGAAGATCTCCAACATGTAGATATTTGTTTGTTTGACAGTGATACCAAGGTCTGATCCCAGGTCTCAAACAGGGAAGACAAGTGCTGTCACTGAGCTCCACTCCAGCCCCTTATTTTGATATCCACCATAGAGGTGATAATATTTGAAAAGCTGGAAATTATTTTGATCTGATCATTATATGTTGTATACACATATCAAAGTATAATATTATATCCCATTAGGTACATATATTATGTCAACTAAAAAATAAAAATAAAATTTTTGAACAATTCACTATTTATCTTATTGTGGTTTCACCATGATAAATCCTCTTGCTCTTCTGTTCTCAAAATTTTCTTGTTTTTTACTTTTAGCATTTTGACTATGGTGTGTCTGTTTGTGACTCTCTTTGCATTTAGCTATCATGGAGCTCTCTGAATTTGCTAAATTTGTAAGTTAGTCACGTTCAATAAATTTGGGAAGTCAGCTAT